GACCCCGTATCAATTGAGGCGTGCACTAGTGGGAGGCGCTGCCTTGACGACTCTGACTGTTCTCGCAGCCTTCGCTTTTTACTTGGTCCAGCGCCACAACTGCGGCCGGTTTGCTTGTTTGTTTTTTGGGAGAAGCTTTTCCATCAATGAGTTTCCCACTCATGGGCTCCACACACACAAAGTAGTGTATTTTGCCGGCGTGTACGTGTTTGCGGTTCCTGTTTTTTTTGTTTTCGGCGGTGTGCGCCTTTGCACCGCGCTGCCGGTTACTGTTGTAATGCACGCTATTCCCGCAAAAACCCGGTCTGGGGGGATCTTGGGGCCGATTGGCTGCTTTGGCAAATTCTCGTTCCTCGATTCCTGCGGGGCGTGCTCCTTGTGGGGTCAGGGCCGCAGCTGGAAGGCGTTGCCTCGGCGGCGGTGTGTGCTGGATTTTACTTCTTCCTTTGCGGCAACGGCACTTTTCATTTTTATTGGGGGATGGCCCGACCACCGTCTGGCGCCGCGACACGCCAGTTCGCAAAAAACGCCTCGTCGAAGGGGCCAGTTGCCGGCGGTGTGCCCGAGGCACAGCCCAATGGGAGGGCGCGAAGAAGGCACGCGAAGGAATTGGTGGGCCGTGCCGTGGAGTGAGGACGTGCCTTTGCGATGGGCCCACACCGCACATTTGTCTTTGCGTGTGTCAGTCTCTCTGCTGGGTGGTTCCTTGTGCTCGGTGCACCGTGAAATGGAGTGGCTTCGGCAGCTGTGCCGGAAGACCGTTCGATGACTCTTTGGGAGGGAAGTGCCACAAACATATTCTTCCTTATCTTCTTCTGTGTTTTCGTCATTCTGATCGCTGCGGTGCCTTTTGTTCGCGTCACGGCCTGCAGCTGACGCGCTTCTTCTGGCGCATGTGTGTGTGTCGCTGGCCTATATCAAATTGAACAGTATGCACGATGCATGCTCGGCGACAAGGTGAGGGACATTTACGGTGCCGGTGCGGCGCTGCTTTGGCCGCTCACTCCGCGGCTGATCTCCGCCGTCTGGCAGTGGGCCCTCCCGCTGCCGAACACACTTGCAAGGGGAGGCGGCATGTGCGGCAGTGGCTGGCAGCACGCAAGGCGCCACAGTACTCTGAGCCCCTCTAGCAGCCTTTTTTTTTGCTTTTTAATTTCCGTCTTTATTGTGTATTATATGCGTTTGTGCCTTCTATTTTGATTTTTATCGCTCTTTTTTCCTTGACAGCTCCTGTTAATAGGGAGCGTTGGGGGACGGCTTCAAATGTAAAAAAAATAAGCCAGCAATCAGCGAGGTCGTTATGTTTTTGTTGCTTTTCCCTTCTTTTTGGCATCGCCTTTTTGTAAAGAAGTTGGGACTGTTTTGCGTGAGAAAAAGAGGGAGGGCGGGAGCAAACATATTTTCTCCTCCCTCGACCAGTTTGCGCAGAGGACGATGTGGGGCGCCTGGCGTCGCGGCGTGGGGGCTGCCGTGACTCCGGTGGTGAAGAAAAGAAAAGGCATCCAGGGGGAAAAGTTGCAAATTGTAACGAGCGCGTCAAGGACGGTGTGTTCAAAAGGCGCAAGGGGGGCGCGTCGTCGCACCACGTGCGGTAGAAATGAAGGCGGAACTGTTTTATTTATGTATTTATTTTTTTCCGCTGCCCCGTACGTGCTGGACTCACAAGAGGGCGCCGTAAATATATAAATGTGTATGTGGAGGACGCAAACGAAGCCATTCTCTTAGCGTGGGCGGTAAAATAAAGAATGGAGGAAAGTGACAACAACTCAACTGGTGAAATTAAAAGGAACAATACGAAGCAGTTTTCTCTGGGGGAGGGAAAGAAACGGGTGCGTGTTTGCCGGACAGCAAAAAGAAAGATGTGGGAGTCTAGTGTGTGCCCCAGATGAGGGCGCATAAAATGGGAGAGCGTTTCTTGACGTTATTTGGGGCCGTTTTACCTGTGGACTGATTTGTCTCCCTGCGAGAACGCGCTTGGAAGACGGCGCGAAGGGGCTTTTCGTTTTTGTTGTGTTGCCTCCTCACCCACGCGTTCACTCCCTGCCACCGCTGCGACTGTTGCTGTTAATTCCACGCGGCGGCTGCGGGGGCGTCTGAAAGACTCCCTCTGCGTGAGTTCACGTCGAGGGACCGTTCATTCCGGAACGCCTTTGCGCAGCAATTCTTTTTTCTTTTGCTGCTGGTGTGTGTCTGGGCGGGTTGGGTAAATTTCACCTCATTTGGGGGATGGCGGGCACACGGAACAGGACTAAGCGCCCTCTCTCTCTCCCTCTCTTTCTGTGTGTGTAGGAATTTAGGAAAAGGGCCGCAGCCAAAGGGGGTCGCGGTTTAAAATGGGCTTCTGCTGTCCTCCCCACTCCGCTGCCTCTTGGCGCGTGCAACGGACTCACGCACGAGTTATATAAACGCTGTCAGCCCCCACTTTGCTGCGCTTCCCATTATTATTATTATTGTTTGTTTTCTTTTC